CCACTAGGTAACCGCCGGATCACTAAGTCCTACTTTCGTATCTGTTCGACTTGTAAGTCTCACAGTTAAGCATCCTTATACCTTTACGCTCTACATAGGATTTCTATACCTACTGAGGATACCTTATGAACACCTCCGTTACTTTTTAGGAGGCGACCGCCCCAGTCAAACTACCCACCAAACACTGTCCTTTTGGCTGTAAACCAATAAGTTAGAATCTTCTGCTGATTAGAGTGGTCTTTCACCTTGCGACTCCACTGACCTGTTGAGAAGTCAGCTTCAAAGTCTCCCACCTAGCCTACACAAACCAGAAAAAAACCCAATATCAAGCTGCAGTAAAGCTCCACGGGGTCTTTCCGTCTAGTTGCGGGTAACCGGCATCTTCACCGGTACTAAGATTTCACCGAGTCTATAGTTGAGACAGTACACCAGTCATTACGCCTTTCATGCGGGTCAGAACTTCAATAATGTTAGCTAATAGTTTCCTATTAGTTCAGACTATACCTTCACCTTATCCAATAATTTTAGAAATTAAGTTTATTAAAAATAATTTCATAATTACCTTTTGCTAGACAAGGGCTGACGTCTTAACTCGTTTTTCTCGAATTCTCAGCTTTCGCTTCAGTCGTTACGGGTCACAAAGTTTATTTGTGTTCCCACGGTATTCCCATAGAATTGCTTCCTTAGGGTTCACCGTTATTAGTCAGTTTACTTAAACAATATTACTACTGTTTTCAGGCAATTCTTTCACCTGACAAGGAGTTTCGCTACCTTTGGACCGTTATAGTTACGGCCGCCGTTCACTCGGGCTTCAATTCAGAGCTTCACCAATATCTTACTACTGGCTAACCCCTCCTCTTAACCTTGGAGCACTGGGCAGGCGTCGCCCCATATACTTCGGCTTACGCCTTTGCATAGAGCTGTGTTTTTGATAAACAGTTGCCGGTGTCTCTTCACTGCGGCCTAGGTTGCCCTAGGCACCCCTTCTCGCGAACTTACGGGGCTAATTTGCCGAGTTCCTTAACTATAGTTTGCTCGCTGGCCTGAGGATATTCTCCCCGACCACGTGTGTTCGTTCTTGGTACGAGTATCATAATCATATCTTTAGAAGCTTTTCTTGGAAGCAAAGCGTTCAGATAATTCAAGTTGCCTCTACCCATCATATTTCAAGGTTATATATGGCGGATTTGCCAACCATACCCTCTTTATACTTAGACCAGAATCAATAACTGGTTTATCTTAGCTGACTTCGTCACTCCATCAGTAATTATGATAGTACAGGAATATTAACCTGTTGTCCATCGACTACGCCTTTCGGCCTCGCCTT